TACAGTTCCCTCACTGGTGTGTTTTACAGGGACTGGTCATATAGCCTGAGTACAGTCCCTTCACTAGTGATGTGTTTACAGGGGCTGGTCACTTATAGCTTCATTCCCCTCACTAGTGTGTTTACAGGGGCTAGTCATATAGCCTAGGTACAGTCCTCACTAGTGTGTTTACAGGGGCTGGTCATATAGCCTGAAGTACAGTCCCCCTCACTAGTGTGTTTACAGGGGGCTGGTCATATAGCCTAGGTACCAGTTCCTCACTAGTGTGTTTACTGGGGCCCAGTCATATAGCCTAGGTACAGTCCCTCTCACTAGTGTGTTTACAGGGGAGCTGGTCATATAGCCTGAGGTACAGTCCCCTCACTAGTGTGTTTACAGGGGCTGGTCATGGCCTAGGTACAGTTCCCCTCACTAGTGTGTTTACAGGGGCTGGTCATGCCCTAGGTACAGTCCCTCACTGGTGTGTTTACAGGGGCTGATCATATAACCCCTAGGTACAGTCCCCTTCACTGGTGTGTTTACAGGGGCTGGTCATATAGCCTAGGTACAGTCCCCTTCACTGGTGTGTTTACAGGGGCTGAGATGTATAGCCTAAAATTTTAGTCCCTTCACTAGTGTGTTTACAGGGGACTGGTCATATAGCCTAGGTACAGTCCCTTCACTGATGTGTTTACAGGGGCTGGTCATATAGCCTAGGTACAGTCCCTTCACTGAAAAGATGTGTTTACAGAGGGGCTGGTCATATAGCCTGGGTACAGTCCCTTTACTTCAAGTCAATAATTTTACCGGGGACTGATTAAAATATACTCCCGAGTACAAGTCCCCCTCACTAGTGTGTGTTTACAGGGGCTGGTCATATATAGCCTAGGTAGTCCCCTTCACTAGTGTGTTTACAGGGAGCTGATCATATAGCCTAGGTACAGTCCCCTTCACTAGTGTGTTTACAGGCTGGTCATATATGGCCCTAGTACAGTCCCCTTCACTAGTGTGTGTTTACAGGGGCTGGTCATATAGCTTAGGTACAGTCCTTCACTGAGTGTGTTTTGCAGGGGCTAGTCATAGCCTGAGTACAGTCCCTTCACTGAATTATTGTTTACAGGGGCTGGTCGTATAGCCTGGTACAGTCCCTTCACTGGTGTGTTTACAGGGGAGAAGCTGATCATATAGCCTAGGTACAGTCCCCTTCACTAGTGTGTTTACAGGGGCTGGTCATAGCCTAGGTACAGTCCCTCACTGGGTGTGTTTACAGGGGCTGGTCATATAGCCTGAGTACAGTCCCCTTCACTGAGGGTGTGTTTACAGGGGCTGGTCCTTATAGCCCTGAGTACAGTTCCCTCACTAGTGTGTTTACAGGGGCTGGTCATATAGCTAGGTACAGTCCCCTTCACTGAATTGTGTTTACAGGGGCTGGTCATATAGCCTAGGTACAGTCCCCCTCACTGGTGTGTTTACAGGGGCTGGTCATATAGCCCTAGGTACAGTCCCTTCACTAGTGTGTGTTTTACAGGGGCTGGTCATATAGCCTAGGTACCAGTCCCCTCACTAGTGTGTTTACAGGGCTAGTCATGCCAACCTAGGTACAGTCCCCTTCACTAGTGTGTTTTACAGGGGGCTGGTCATATAGCCTAGGTACAGTCCCCCTCACTAGTGTGTTTACAGGGGCTGGTCATATAGCCGGTACAATTACTACTAGTGTGTTTACAGGAAGCTGGTCCATATAATAGGTACAGTCCTTTACTAGTGTGTTTACAGGGGCTGGTCATATAGCCTAGGTACAGTCCCCTTCACTGGTGTGTTTACAGGGGCTGGTCATATAGCTAGGTACAGTCCCTTCACTAGTGTGTTTACAGGGACTGGTCATATAGCTGGTGCAGTGCACTTCACTGTAGTGTGTTTACAGGGGCTGGTCATATAGCCCACAGAGTACAGTCCCCTTCACTAGTGTGCTTACAGGGGCTGGTGTATAGCTAGGTACGGTCACCCACTGAATGTGTTTACAGGGACTGGTCGCCCATAGCTAGGTACCGAGTCCCTTCACTAGTGTGTTTACAGGGGCTGGTCATATAGCCTAGGTACAGTCCTTCACTGAGTGTGTTTACAGGGCTGGTCATAGCCTAGGTACAGTCCCCTTGCTCAAGTGGCTGAACACGAGGGGCTGGTCATATAGCCTAGGCAGTCCCCTCACTAGTGTGTGTTCTGAGGGGCTGGTCATATAGCCCTGGGTACAGTCCCCTTCACTAGGTGTGTTTTACAGGGAGGGCTGGTCTTTCCTTCAAGTACAAATCCCCTCCCTTCATTATGAACTTTACAGGGAAACGGTCATATAGCCTAGGTACAGTCCCCTTCACTGAGTGTGTTTTACAGAGGCTGATTAAGCATAAGCACAAGTGATCCCCCTCACTAGTGTGTGTTTACAGGGGCTAGTCATATAGCCTAGGTACAGTCCCCCTCACTAGTGTGTTTTACAGGGGCTGGTCCTTATAGCCTAGGTACAGTCCCCTTCACTGAGTGTGTTTTACAGGGGGGCTAGTCATATAGCCTAGGTACAGTTCCCTTCACTGAGTGTGTGTTTACAGGGCTGGTCATATAGCCTAGGTACAGTCCCCTCACTAGTGTGTTTACAGGGGCTGGTCATATAGCTAGGTACAGTCCCCCTCACTAGTGTGTTTACAGGGGCTGGTCATATAGCCTAGGTACAGTCCCTCACTAGTGTGTTTACAGGGGCTGGTCATATAGCCTAGGTACAGTCCCTTCACTAGTGTGTTTACAGGGGCTGGTCATATAGCCTAGAGTACAGTCCCCTTCACTGAGTGTGTTTACAGGGGGCTGGTCATATAGCCTAGGTACAGTCCCTTCACTAGTGTGTTTACAGGGGGCTGGTCACTTATAACTAGGTATGATCCCCTTCACTAGTCTTTACAGGGGCTGGTCATATAGCTAGGTACAGTCCCTTCACTAGTGTGTTTACAGGGACTGGTCATATAGCCTAGGTACAGTCCCCTTCACTGGTGTGTTTACAGGGCTGGTCATATAGCCTAGGTACAGTCCCCTTCACTGGAGTGTGTTTACAGGGGCTGGTCATATAGCCTAGGTACAGTCCCCTTCACTAGTGTGTTTTACAGGGGCTGGTCCTTAGCTTCTAGGTACAGTCCCCTCACTGGTGTGTTTACAGGGGCTGGTCATATAGCCTGAGTACAGTCCCCTCACTAGTGTGTTTACAGGGGCTGGTCACCTCAGCCCTGGGGCTGGGTCCCTTCACTGGTGTGTTTACAGGGGCTGGTCATATGGCCTAGGTACAGTCCCTTCACTGGTGTGTGTTTACAGGGGCTGGTCATGCAGCCCTAGGTACCCAGTCCCTTCACTAGTGTGTTTACAGAGGCTGGTCACATAGCCTAGGTACAGTCCTCTTCACTAGTGCGTTTACAGGGGCTCTCCATATAGCCTAGGTACAGTCCTCTTCACTAGTGCGTTTACAGGGGCTCGTCATATAGCCTAGGTACAGTTCCCTTCACTAGTGCATTTACAGGGGCTAGTCATATAGCCTAGGTACAGTCCTCTTCACTAGTGCGTTTACAGGGGCTCGTCATATAGCCTAGGTACAGTCCCCTTCACTGAATAATTACAGGGCTGGTCATATAGCCTAGGTGCAGTCCCCTTCACTGGTGTGTTTTGCAGGGGCTGGTCATATAGCCTAAGTGCAGTTCCTTCACTAGTGTGTTTACAGGGGCTGGTCATATAGCCTCGGTACAGTCCCCTTCACTAGTGTGTTTACAGGGGCTGGTCATATAGCCTAGGTACAGTCCCCTTCACTAGTGTGTTTACAGGGGCTGGTCATATAGCCTAGGTACAGTCCCCTTCACTAGTGTGTTTACAGGGGCTGGTCATATAGCCTAGGTACAGTCCCCTTCACTAGTGTGTTTACAGGGGCTGGTCATATAGCCTAGGTACAGTCCCCCTCACTAGTGTGTTTACAGGGGCTGGTCATATAGCCTAGGTACAGTCCCCTTCACTAGTGTGTTTACAGGGGCTGGTCATATAGCCTAGGTACAGTTCCCCTCACTAGTGTGTTTACAGGGGCTGGTCATATAGCCTAAGAATCATCATCATCATCATCATCATCATCATCATCATCATCATCACCAGACACACACTTCATCAGAACCATTCCCCACCAACTGCTCTCCCAGGCTACACCAGTACTTATCACCACTAAGTAATAATCTCTCTATAATACAAAACATTACCTATAACTTTCTTCAGTTATTACTAATACTACAAAGAACACTTGTAAAGGCATTATAGGCTGTACTTGCCTCTATAACACAGGCATGGCTGAGGAATTATACCGTCATCTACATAAATTAAGTCACATATGTGGTCTCTTTAACATACCTGGCTGTTTTGATTACGTGTGTGTGCGCGTGTGTGTGTGTGTACCGAGTGTCAGTAAAATCGTACAGTAATAAACTTAACTAACCTAATAAACAACAGTAATTGCTACACTTAACGACCTTCACTGGTAATTATAAAACTACCTCCCACATGAACCATCACTTGGATGTCTTTACCATACAGTACAATAAGTGATAAGTGGAATAAATTTAAGTATTAAGTAAGGTCTAAGATACAGTGCATCAAGTACACACACTTATAACTATAAAAGTGTTAAGTCAAATTAAGTAGTTTTCTTCACACAGTAAAGTAACTATGGGTGTTACTTATGACTCGGGTAGCTACTTAACACTTACAAGTCATATCTACACCATGTTGAAGTCATTACTGTATATCATTTATGAAACACCCTGTACATGTGTGTGTGTGTGACTTATGAAACACCCTGTACATGTGTCTGTGTGTGACTTATGAAACACCCTGTACATGTGTGTGTGTGACTTATGAAACACCCTGTACATGTGTGTGTGTGTGTGACTTATGAAACACCCTGTACATGTGTGTGTGTGACTTATGAAACACCCTGTACATGTGTGTGTGACTTATGAAACACCCTGTACATGTGCGTGTGTGACTTATGAAACACCCTGTACATGTGTGTGTGACTTATGAAACACCCTGTATATAACCATAGGCCAAACCAATCATTATAACAATTATACTAACTCACAACCTAACTACAACCAAACTACAACATCAAGAACACACGAGTAAATAATAACATCCCCAAATTACAACCTTTGGCCCCAACTACACCACAATATTACAGAATCTAAAATTATCATTCCTAAAAAAAAATAACATTAAAATTAATCCCCAGAAGATATTATCAAATTACAATATTATAAACATTATTTAAATTAATCCCCCAAAATATTATCAAATTACAATATTATAAAAGTTATTTAACATTGAGTGTTGTGTTGCGTACAGGAGAGGTTCGTCCATCACCACAACTGTCTGGTGAGTTAGTTACATTTTAGACCAAATCTCTAAAGGGAAATAATCTAAGTAATGTGTTAGTGGGATAATATAGCCAAATAATTTAGTTTGTGGGATAATATAACCAAAATAATTTAGTTTGTGGGATAATATAGCCAAAATAATTTAGTTTGTGGGATAATATAGCCAAAATAATTTAGTTTGTGGGATAATATAGCCAAAATAATTTAGTTTGTGGGATAATATAGCCAAAATTATTTAGTTGCTGGGATAAAATAGCCAAAACAGTCTTCAGAATGGGTTGAGACGGTAACCACTGCCCAGAGGCGAGTACGGGTGAACCTTGGACCACATAAGGGCGTCGTTCTGACCCATGACTGATTCACCGTTCTCCAGGAAGTAACTCGGCCCCTGCAAGACGAAATTGACTTTAGTAAAAGGTTAGGAAGAATTTAATTACAGCACCTGAAGATTAGACACCCCTTAGCTTACTTTATGTTGCTAATTTTATCCTCTTCACCACTGATAGGTTCGTTAGCCGCTTGGGTGGTTGGTCGTCTCTGTTACACACTGTTGGCAAGTACTGGGCATGTACTGGCTCTCTGTTACACACTGTTGGCAAGTACTGGGCATGTACTGGCTCTCTGTTACACACTGTTGTCAAGTACTGGGCATGTACTGGCTCTCTGTTACACACTGTTGTCAAGTACTGGGCATGTACTGACGCTCTGTTACACACTGTTGGCAAGTACTGGGCATGTACTGGGCTCTCTGTTACACACTGTTGGCAAGTACTGGGCATGTACTGATGCTCTGTTGTTACACTGTTGGCAAATGCTAGGCATGTACTGGGCTCTATTTTACTGTTGTAAGTACTGGCTCTCTGTTACACACTGTTGAAGTACTGGTTCTCTGTTACACACTGTTGGCAAGTACGACATGCTGGCTCTCTGTTACACACTGTTGCTTGGCAAGTACTGGGCATGTACTGGCTCTGTTACACACTGTTGGCTTAAGCGCTGAAGCATGTACTGGCTCTGTTACACTGTTAGTAGAGTACTGGGCATATGCTGGCTCTCTATTATTACACTGTTGGCAAGTGCTGGGCATGTGCTGGTTCTCTGTTACACTGTTGGCAAGTACTGGGCATATGCTGGCTCTCTGTTACTGTTGGCATGTACTGGCTCTCTGTTAGACATTGTTGGAAAGTACTGGGCATGTACTGGCTCTCTGTTGTACACTGTTGGTAAGTATTAGGCATGTACTGGCTCTCTGTTATACACTGTTGGTAAGTACTGGGCATGTACTGGTTCTATGTCATGCACTGTTGGTAAGTACTGGGCATGTACTGGCTCTCTGTTATACACTGTTGGTAAGTACTGGGCATGTACTGGTTCTCTGTTACATACTGTTGGTAAGTACTGGGCATGTACTGGCTCTCTGTTACACACTTGGCAAGTACTGGGCATGTACTGGCTCTCTGTTACACACTGTTGGCAAGTACTGGGCATGTACTGGTTCTGTTACACACTGTTGCAAATACTGGTTCTCTGTTACACACTGCTGGCAAGTACTGGTTCTCTGTTACACACTGTTGGCAAGTACTGCATATACTGGTTCTCCTATTACACACTGTTGGCATGTACTGGTTCTCTGTTATACACTGTTGGCAAGTACTGGGCATGTACTGGTTCTCTGTTACACACTGTTGGCAAGTACTGGTTCTCTGTTACACACTGTTGGCAAGTACTGGGCATGTACTGGCTCTCTGTTACACACTGTTGGCAAGTACTGGTTCTCTGTTACACACTGTTGGCAAGTATTGGGCATGTACTGGTTCTCTGTTACACACTGTTGGCAAGTACTGGGCATGTACTGGCACTCCGTTATGCACTGTTGGGAAGTACTGGGTATGCACCAGCTCCAGTGTTGGTCAAGTCTGGTCTTGAAACAGCTCACACTCGGTGCCGTCACAACACTCTCTGGTAGGATTGGCCCAACAGTTCACAACTCTCACTCAGAAAAAGTTTGCCCTCACAGTTTTCTGGACTTGCGGCTTCTTTAACCTCGAGCTGTGACCCCTTGTGGGGCGAGCGTCCGCCAGCTCTAGGTAAGGACACTCAACTGAGTAGTGCCCCTCGAGATGCTTATACACCTCAACTAGGTCCCCCCCTTGCCCATCTATAGTATAAGCTAGGTAAGTTCAGGCGCTCCAATCTCTCAGGGTAATTGAGGTGCCGAAGTGCAGGCACCAGTCTGGTGACCCTCCTTTGAACATTTTCAATCAACTGACAGTCCCTAGCATATCTCGGGGATCAGACGGGGTAGCACTTCACTCCTGAAGATTGTTACGAGGGACGGACCGTCTAGATATCTGAACGACCTTCTTATAAGACCCAATAATTTATTTGCCTGATTTACCTTCTTCTCGCAATGGCCCGAGAACTTCAGCTCATTGTCAACATACACACTTAGGTCCTTCTCACATTCAGTCTCAACTAGTGCAGTTTCTTCATCCCGTTGGAACATATGATACGCCTCCTTACCGTTGGTACGCCCCAGGTGCATCCTCTTACACTTTTTGTGACATTGAATCTCAGCAGCCATTTCTTCGACCATTCCTGGAGCCCACAGAGGTCCTTCTGCAGTTCTTCACAGTCCGCTTGGTTCTTAATTTCCCGAAATAACTTGGCGTCATCGGCAAACATTTGTATGGAGGAGTGTACAACGTCAGGCATATCATTTATGAAACAAACAAACAACAGCGGGCCCAATACACTACCCTGCGGTACCCCACTTGTTACAGGTACAGATGACGATTTCGTGACATTAATCACAACCCATATCTTGAATTTCTGGGTTTTCTTCTTAACTTCGTCGACCGCCGAGTGGTTCATGTGTAGGGATCCCCTCATATTGTGTACATGTTGAGAGAAAGAATGAAACTCAAATCGACTTATTTAGCACCAGATCATCACACAAAACATGGGGACAAACTTTGCATCCCCAACCATGGAGTTTGTCCTAACGTCCAGTCGATAAAGGTGCAACAATTTAAAAATATTTGCCTGTGTGTGTGTGTGGGGTGGGGTAGGGTCTTACAGCACCCCCCCAGTTATATGGGATCACTATACTCCCCCCCCCACTGCCTGATAAACCACCTCCTTAATATAATATTTCAACGTCTGGTTCCATCCCTGATTCTGTAATACCTTTTGTGCTCATCGGATAAGTATGGGGTACACAATAAACTAGCTGCTGTGTGGCAAAATTACACCCCACATACCACATACCACACAACTCACCTTAATCATGTGGTTAGTGATGCAACATATCTGTGAGTCAGAATGTCGAGGCAAATGAGAGCCAATGACACAGGTTACACCAACATCGGCCCACAGCACTGGTGGCTCCTGGCTCACACCCCAGTCATGAACACCTTCCTCCCACCTGTTGACAGTTGAATTGAATTGAAACAGTTTATTTAGCCAGAAAAACACAGATACAGAGTGGATAATATTAACATGGCTGAGCCAGTTGAGAACCTGAGCTGCACCTGATATATACTATACATTTATCTCAAGGAAGTATTATGTAACATTCAGTATCAATAGTACAGTAGTATGGTGGTAATAACAACATGTTACCACAGTTATCACTTCATTATTTATTTATTTATTACATTTATTATTTTTATTTATATATTTATTATTATTTTTTATATATATACGTACATATACACATACATATATACATACATATAGATACACATACACACACACACACATACACATATACATATAAATTACAGTGGAATTGAAAACATAAGTATAATGGGGGAGCAGTACAACCTGGGTTGTACAGTAATAAGGTGGAACAAGAGGACAGAGCTGTCAGGATAATGTCTAGTTGGCAATTATGTGCACTGCAATGGTAATTACTTATTTATTTTTTTAAGAGATGATTTAAAGGAAGGGAGCGGAGTCTTTGCTGGGATGGGTCAGTTGTTCCACACCTTCACACTGGGATATTTTATGGAGGTCTGGGACTGAGAGGAGCACATGGGGGGTGGTCTTAGTAGCTCTGGGGGCCTTAAGTTGTATCTCTGATTATTACGGAACTGGAAATAATTATTGTCAAGCAAGTGAGTCACAGATTTGTAAACAAAGAGGGCACAGCAGTAGGTGTTAATATCCTCGAATTTTAACATCTTAAATCTTTCAAATTTCTCGTTTGTGTGATGTTTTTTTCAAGTAGGTCATTGTCCGTACAACTCTCTTTTGTGCAGTAACCAGAGATTGTGTTTTTGAAGAGCCAGAGGCCCCATAGTGTGTGACAGTGTATCAGGTGTTGGTAAACAAGATCATGATAGATTTTTTTCATTGCTGTGAGAGTGAGTGACTGTCGAATGTGATACATGATACCGCACTGTTTATTGAATTTACAGTGAATGGCTTGTATGTGGTTTCTCCAGTTAAGTTTCTCAGATATTATGTACTATACAGTGAACCCTCACTTTACGCGGTCAATTGAACCCACGGCGGCCCGCGTAAAGTGAGAAACGCGTAAAGTGAACAACATAACATATGGGTTTAATTGAAATAGAGACCGGGCCAACCCCCAAACTCCACTTTTTCCGACACAATACCTACGTTGTAGTAAAAATAACTTCTTAATTTTATGATGGTATGCACACACAATTAATAATTAAGAGAAATATCAATAATATTAGGTTTTTTAACACTTACGTTAGTAGAAGAGATGGCTGGGCACACAGGGATAGGGGGTTGGTTCCGAGGCAGAGGGTAGATTATTGGCCCTCACCTGTGTCACTTGTATCAATTGTATCACTATCCACCACAGAGGCTTGCAGGGCCTCTTTGTCAAACCCCTCAAAGTCCATATAAGTCCATATCCTCACTATAATTATCAATATCACTGACTTGGGCCGGCTGTGGTGGGTGGCGGGTGAAGAACTTGGTAATGTTTTGATGACTGGGCGACCTTGTGTGCACCCTGCTCGCTTCGCTCTCCGCGTAAAAGGGTACACACACTGCGGAAAGTGAGCATTCCGTGTTCGGCAGGGTACCGCATAAATGTGGAAACGCGTAAAGTGGGACAGCGTAAAGCGAGGGTTGACTGTACACCTGTCTAACACGACCAGCCATTCATAACAACTGTTGTCAGCCATACATAATAACTGTCAGCCATACAGTGAGTTCTGCTATAACGCGTGTTTTGACAATGCGAATTGGCTCTAACGCGATTTATGAATAGAGGAACGATATTTGTATAATGCGAACGCTTGTTTGCTGTAACGCGATTTTTGCTTACTATTTCTCCAATTTTGTGGTATTAACTGTGAATATGGTAAAGAAGAATATCTCCAAGAAGTGTTCTGGTGATCGCGTTACCGGTGATGATCGTAAAAGAAAGGCTATAACCCTTGAAGAGAAGCTCGATGTTATCAACCTCAAAATCACCCTTCTCCCCCATCAAGTAAAGTGTTACATTTACTGTATGATTTCATTATTAGATATTAATGTAACATTTATTTAGACTGTGCTATCCTTTGTGTTAGGCTAACTACTAAATTTTTTTCGATTTCGAGTAATCTGCACCTAACCCTATTTTCTCCATAAGCCCTGTTATTTCTATTATGCGAATTTCTATAACACGATGTTTTACAAGAACACAACTATCGCGTTATAGCAGAACTGACTGTACATAACAGCTGTCAGCCATACACTCACCTGGCCTTAGCCTTTGGTATGTGTTGATCACCCAAGAAGTCGTAACCTGTTGGTCTGTGTTTCTCCAAGATGTAACTGTAATATGTAATGATAACAACAATAACAACAATAATAACAATAACAATAATAACAACAATAATAACAATAACAACAATAATAACAATGACAATAATAATAATAATAATAATAATAATAATAATATTGTAATACTACTAATAATAATAATAACAACAATAATAATAATAATAATATCCCCGTTAGACACAACAATTGGTACAGAACTCTTCCGACAATGAGACATTTCCAGGTAACCAGACGAATCTTTCAAACCCGGAAAAAACTCCCCCATCCCCGGGTATTGGGGAAATTTTTTCGGAATTTTCCGGAAAATGTGGCCCTCGGAAAATCGTTCCCAGAGCCAGAATCTTCCGAACAATTCCGTCTCTGGGAACGATTCTCCGAGAAAATTTAATTTCCGGCCGTCAGAGAGTTCCGGGTTTGAGGGATTCTGGGTAACGGAGATATTACTACAATAACAATAAAATATTCACATAAGTCTATCAATTTGTCTATTTATCCACAGTAGTATCCATGTTATCCGGCACCTACGGGTACTGAGAGGTGCCGGATAAACTGTTTATCCATTTACTAGAAAATATCTCAGAAAAACAGACTTATTTAACACTTATTAAACTCTATATAAATGATGTGGCTTATATATAAAGAAAATATATAATACATAACTATAAAGTGTGTGTGTGTGTGTGTGTGTGTGTGTGTGTGTCATAAGCAGGGTTGCCAGGTCGTGGACTGCATTCTCGCCTCATCACACCCCAAAATGGTCACCTCCTTCCCCAAAACTCGCCCCCAACCAGCTTTATATTATGTATTACGTTCAAGAGGACAGACAGAAGCATAACAGAAGTGGGAAATATTCACATCGTACATATTACTCGCTAATTTGCATACTTGTGTTGGCAGTGTTCATGCTGTGTATAAAATATCTTTATGTCACATGTGGGTTTATTTCATGAAATCTTGATATGACAGAATTATTTGCCCCCTGACATGGTGCTGCATCCATCAGTTGCCAAGCCAGTAGATTTTTGGACGTCCAGTTTGAGATATGTTTTTAAGAAGTCAAGTAAGGCCGTTGAGACCAATTAGACAGAGGCTTTGTCCAGTTCTATCAAGGCCAAGAATGATGTGATAATTCTTTCTTCTCACAGCTGGGATACTGAACAATAATACACCTTCATCAATTATTAAAGACCAATATCACTGCATGGTTCATTTAGTTTAAGGAGTCGTAGTAGTTTGATGATAAGTGTCGTTCATTTTGTCCTCTGTAGAGATATCTTTCACAAGCTCAGGCAGATGGTCGATAGGTTTTATGCGAGCTGCTAATTTGACTTGAGAAATTTCCACAGATTTATTGGCATTTACTTACGATATGCCAGAGTTAAATAAAATGTCCCCGTAGTTGAAAATAGAGCTAGATTTAGTGTGTTTTATCTGTTGAACTGTGATTTACTAGAACAATGATGGTCTGTGAGTGTTGTTTAGCAGAACTGGTACGCTTCAATAATCTCATTACTCGGTACATCAGGTTTCTTATTCATTTTGCCATACTTAGACCATTTGTCCACTCCACTACAGCACAAGTATACAAGAGGTCAAACACCCACATATTGTATCTCCTCCACTGACGACGGTTGAGGTGGAAGTTTCAATCAGGCCACATGACTATCAGGTCAACTGTCCACCGGCCGGGCCACCGCGCCTGTCAGCCATCAGTAATGTGTTAAAACGTGTCACCCGACCTCTACGTCTATAAGGTAAGGTAGTAATACATCGTGAACTGTCGAAAATAGACTAAATCACCGCCACCTTTAGTAAACAACCCCCATATTTTCCCTCTCCACCTCAAAACCAAACCAAATTAGCCTCCCAAATGCATTACCCGGCAACACCGTCATAACAGTGTGGCCGCCGCTCTCGGACGACGTGACAACACACACAGTACAGACCAGCTTGACGGTTCGACCCAGCGCTTCTCGACGTGACCTGACAACACACACGCAGTACAGACCAGCTGGTTGACTGTCTGACCTGTGCGCTCGACGTGACTCGATACAACACACACGCAGTACAGACCAACTGGTTGACTGTCTGACCTGTGCGCTTCCCCCCCCGACGTGACCTGACAACACACACGCAGTACAGACCAGCTGGTTGACTGTCTGACCTGTGTTGTGGTAACCCAGATGATGGTGTGAGAGTGGAAGGAATTATGTGTTGATTATATAGTTTATAATAACAATAAATATGGTAACTTAACCCTGTAATGACCTGTATTCAACCTTAGGATTTTAGCTGATGGGTCTACCAGTTACCGGTTAGTTGGATAACTGGGATTCTTCTGTAGTTATTGATGATTAGACTGTCTATGTAACCTGACCTAACCTAACTGACTGTACACATGATTCAATAACTGACTCTACACATGATTCAATAACTGATTCTACACCTGACTCATTAACTGACTCTACACCTGACTCATTAACTGACTCTACACATGACTCAATAACTGACTCTACACCACACTAAACTCTCCACATGATTCAATAACGGACTCTACACATGACTTAATAATTGACTCCACACATGACTCAATAACTGACTCTACACCACACCTTGCATGACTCAAGAGGTGCGGTACGACAGAGGTGTAGTTAAGCACAGCCGCCCTCACTGCTCCGAGGTAAGCTGACAGTGCTAACAAGCCGCCTCGTTGGTCGCCGCGGATCACCCATTTGCCATCGGTTTGTGTCAACGGGACGGCCTGAACCAGACGCAGCACGTACCAGACGCTTGATTGGTCCAGATTCTCACCGATGATTTGTTCTGTGGGGTAGTTAAGCTTATTTGAGGGTTAAGGTTTGAAAGTTTATTTGAGGGTTAAGGTTTGAAAGCTTATTTGAGGGTTAGGTTAAGGTTTGAAAGCTTATTTGAGGGTTAGATTAAGGTTTGAAAGCTTATTTGAGGGTTAGGTTAGGTTTTTAAGCTTGTTTGAGGGTTAGGTTAGGTTTTTAAGCTTATTTGAGGGTTAGTTTAGGTTTTTCAGCTTATTTGAGGGTTAGATTAAGGTTTGAAAGCTTATTTTATCTGGTACTAAGCTTATTTCATGGTTAGGTTAGGTTATCAAATATATTCTCTCTAAAAGGTCTACCAAAAGAACATAACTCAAACCTTGTAGGAACTCTAGCCCCATAGTCAGACCCTTGTGGGGCTGAGCGGACAAGAGAAGGTAAAGCACTTGGTCTAGGACGGGGCCGACAGCCTTCTGGGAGCACTCGGCCGAGGAAGGGAAGCCAGCATAGGCGTATAGGCTCTCTCTCTCGTCAGCTCGGCCGGTGAACGACAATAATACTTCAGTTTGTAGTATAAGTCGATCTGTTCCCTGTGTGGTGGAGAATTTATTAAGGGTCATTATGGTATCAAATTCATCTCTCTATCATAATTAGCCATGTTTGAGTGAGGAGAGAGGAGAGGAGGGGAAACTGACCTAACGACCATACCACCTTCACCCACATAAAGGTTTGACTGCCACACACACACACACACACACACACACACACACACACACATAAGGAGTGAGGGTGTTACTGTATGGTACATCTGTGTGTGACTGTGTGGTAATGAATGAAATATTACCTGTTGAGGAGCACTTGGCAACACACCTTTCTCACTCTATCTCTCATCATCCACACATTTCTCACTCTATCTCTCATCATTTATACTTATACTTCTCACAATCTCCCTAAAAATACTTAAGCTTTCGTGTTTATTCAAGAGATCTTCAGGTCATGAGACCCACTAATCCCCTGGCCAAGAGAGGTGACCTGACATTCTATCAGGTCAGTAATATGAGACCACTAATCCCCTGGCCAAGAGAGGTGACCTGACATTCTATCAGGTCAGTAATATGAGACCACTAATACCCTGGCCAAGAGAGGTGACCTGACATTCTATCAGGTCAGTAATATGAGACCACTAATGCCCTGGCCAAGAGAGGTGACCTGACATTCTATCAGGTCAGCAATATGAGACCACTAATACCCTGGCCAAGAGAGGTGACCTGACATTCTATCAGGTCAGTAATATGAGACCACTAATACCCTGGCCAAGAGAGGTGACCTGACATTCTATCAGGTCAGTAACATGAGACCACTAATCCCCCACAGCTCAACGGTCGTGGAAAATACCAGTCTTGACTGTAACACACACCTTCAGTAATGACTATCTTCTGGATTATTATAGTAAAGAAATATATTTTCTAACAATACACCAATCACAGGAAAAGAAAGAAAAATAAAATAAAAGTTAAAATAATCAACAAGTTCGGCTATCGTGAAAGGTATTCCATTACCGCCCCAAAGAAGTATTTCCTCTGTGTTTCTAAAGGACTGAGTGGGAGCATAATCCATCATTCACAGCAAAATGCAGCGTACAATCAAACACAAAGGTCACGTCGCGGCTTTGTTCGAAGATTAAATATAACTCGTGAAACATTATTAGAGCCCTACCACAAGGCAGAGCGCATCAAAACTCTACCCCGTCGGAATATGTTTTCACCAAATTTCACGACATGACTTTTGTCTTTCATTGTACATAAATAAAATAAATACTGACAAATTGCCGAGGTGAACTGAACAAGGAGAAGAAAAACAGAAGAATCATAAAGAAATGCAAAAATGAAAAAATCAATAGTGAGAAACAATATATGTATGTTGTGTCGTGTCGTGTTGTGTTGTCAGGGAAACAATTGAGACCCTGTGTGTAAATGAGGCAGAAGGTCAGATCATCAACCTGGGACTTGGTCACATATGGCAGCAGCAGAGTCAACCATTAGACAACACATTATGCTTCCAATATCTTCCCAGTACCTCCCTGTTTGGTACCTGCCTACTACCTACTAGTGCAAGTATTCGGCAGGCAAAAAACTGAGCAAGGAGCGAGGCTTCTCAGAGTGTATTCATTCACCCAGACCGCACAGTAATACAGAGGGAACAGCACAAGAAGCTCCTGCAGGACTTGAAGCAGAGGAGGGAAGAGTCAAGGAGGAACAGGGACGGGTGTACATGGGTTATACTCAGGGGGAGGGCAGTGGAAGCAAGTGTGCCGACACAGGGCCAGGGGGCAGCAGTGCACCCTTCACCCGCTCTACCCCCCACCCGGGAGGCGGCACCAGCTCCGCCTATCAGCCGGGTGGAGGCGAGCGCCGTGTAAACACTGACATTTCTAACCACACCCTGCAAAATACAGTGTACTTAGTAAATGCTGCAGCTTCTGAGAATGTCATGTACACTAATACTGACACGTTCCTTGATAAGAGAGAAGAGTTTGAAACACTACTGAAGGAACACCAACCAGATATTGTGGGAGTTGTTGAACTGTTGTACAAGAACAGGAGAATTGACCCAGAGGAATGAGTTCAGTATACCTAGACAGTGTAGGTATACAAACAATATACCTATACAGTGTAGGTATACAGTATACCTAAACAACAGTATCAAACATCAACTCACCTCAGGTAAAGTTTTGGTCAGGTCAATAGCCAGTTCCCAGAGAGACAGTCTCACAGCCCTGTAGGTGAGGTACCTTAAGGCTGTCTCCACCACACCTCTGATCTGGGCTGAGTCAGTCTCACACAGGTAGGAGGAGGCGTCAGAGTGTGACCCCAGTAACCTGCCTACTGCCACCGCTATCTCCAGTTCATGTCCTCGGAGTAACATTGACAGAGCTCCCTGTATGTAAGATGGGGTTACGTTAAGTTAGGGTTACATTAGGTTAGGATTAGGTTAGGTTAGTATTAGGGTGTTATTTTAATCATCAGGTAAAATAAACTAGGGTGTCTAATCATCAGGTAAAATAAACTAGGGTGTCTAATCATCAGGTAAAATACATTACCTTAATGTCATCAACAGCCAATAAGGCACAGGCAGCAACTATAGGTGACCCTCTCATTAAGTGCCATTCTGCTACAAGTCTGGCACACTCAAGCATTCTATCCTGTATATGGGCAGTGCCATTGACCTCTGCAGCCGGCACTCGAGGCGGCACTTCAGGAGGTGGACCTTTACTGCTCTTCCTCGAGATCTTACTCAAAGCAACACACTGTGAGAATGCTTTATCAAGGTAACCTGTAAAAGTCCATTAATATTTAATTTCCGTAACACCAAAATCAACACAAATTTGACCGTAACACTTTCGCAAATTTGATACTAACACGAAAATCAAAACAAAATTGATCCTAACACAAAAATCAAAACAAATTTGATTCTAACACGAAAATCAACACAAATTTGACCGTAACACCAAAATCAACACAAATTTGACCCTAACACCAACACAAATTTGACCGTAACACCAAAATCAACACAAATTTGACCCTAACACCAACACGAATTTGACCGTAACACAAAAAATCAACACAAATTGAATTCCTAAAATAATTACAAACAAACACACACACTGACTCAATTAGGGGAGTAATCCATAATACGCTAAAGGTGTTAAGGAGGAAGTTAATGAGGAGTTAAAGGGGTAATTAACGGAGGGGTAATTAACAAGGTACAGTTAACATCACCAGTCTAAGTTAATTAAAAAATCACAGTTAACAACACTCAGATATCATGCACAGATCATGTTATACAAGGCATGATATAGTGTCAGGCAGTAGTGTATATGGAGCCCATGGTAGGGTTATCATGCAGCCCATGGCAGACTATCATGTGACCCATGGTAGGGTTATCATGCGACCCATGGCAGTCTATCGTACGACCCATGGCAGTCTATCATGCGGCCCATGGTAGTCTATCGTGCGACCCATGGCAGTCTATCGTGCGACCCATGGCAGTCTATCATGCGGCCCATGGCAGTCTATCGCGCGACCCATGGCAGTCTATCGTGCGACCCATGGCAGTCTATCATGTGACCCAAGGCAGTCTATCATGTGACCCATGGCAGTCTATCATGTGACCCACGGCAGTCTATAATGTGACCCATGGTAGGGTTAACATGCAGCCCATGGCAATCTATCATGCAACCCATGGCAATATATTATGACCCACAATCGTCTATTTTGCACCACAAAATTGTATTATGACCCATGACCCAATTACCTGTTAGTCTGACCGCCTCTGTACAGGTACTAATGTGTCGCATGTGTACACCTACAAGTGCTCTCTACCTTACACACCTGTTCACCACACCTGTTGTACCACCTGAACAATAAAGTCAAGCAGGTGTTTATATAATTTACAGGTGCTAGTATAATGAACAAAACATCACCTGAAGATTAGACACCCCAATGCTACCTGGGGTTAGGTTAATAATCTGGGGTGTCTAATGTTCAGGTGACACATTACTTAACTTATTATCACACACACTACAGTACACACAGTCTAGTAATAATAATAATAATAATAATAATAATAATAATAATGATAATGATAATGATAATAATAATAATAATAATAATAATAATAATAATAATGATAATAATACAATACAGTACAAGTCCAAAAATCCGGACTCCTTGGGGTTTGGGTCGGTCCGGATTTTCAGATTTTCCGGATTCTCGGGCAGTACTTTGAAAATTATAATTTAAGGAGGAATAAAGAAGAGATGAACAGGTACATTTTGATAGTTTATTCACTAGTAATATAGCATGGTTCATTTATCAAAACAAGCAGTTTTAAGGAAAAAGCCGTGAATTCTAGAATTTTATTCTTTGCCTTTTTTATATCATAAATTGTAGACTTTCCAGTGTGGTATGTTTCCATTAGAACAGTGTTGCTCACACCACATTCTAGTGTCTTAATTATTTCAAGTTTGTCACTCAATTTCAACGTGTTCTTGTTTCTCTACACACAACCAAGTTTATCTACTTTAGGAGCCATTATTATGGGCTTGTACAGTACAGTACTCTGTAAATGGAAACAGTAGGACTCCACATAACACAGGTCGTCACAGTTTGATTGCTCGTTTTAAAGTGGCGACCACATGGTCGCTTGTTGTCGCTGTGGCGCTCACGCATGCACACATACACACAAAAGCCCGCTAAATAAAAAATAAAAAATAAATAAATAAATAAAAAAGTTTGAGTTTTCGAAAAGTCCGGATTCTCGGGTGGTCCGGATTTCTGGCATCCGGATTTTTGGACTTTTACTGTAATAATAATAATAATAATAATAATAATAATAATAATAATAATAATAATAATAAGTGTTAATAATAATCACTAGCCAACAGCAGTATAAAATGGTGAGACATTACTGGATTACTTCTTAATAATAACAACAACAAACAATGCAGATAGACTAATCACTAGTCAGCAGCATTAGACTAATCAAGCCATTAGCAGCATCATTACCGAGCTAGTTTACCTGCGCTGTGTTAAACTGTGTCACTGTAGCATCATTCTCAGTGCAGTGATTTACAAGACACCAGGAGCATCAATTTACTCTACCTCGACCAATGTGAAAACTGATGATCTTATCAGCATCGCGTGTTGCCATGAGATAAGGGACACACGCTTCGTTATCATCGCTCAAAAGCTGGTCTGCATGCCTTAGGAATCATCGAGGTTAACGATGGTTAGGTTAGGATGCTACATACAGGGTGTAGCAAAAGAAGTCAAACACACACAAGTGACTGTATGTGTGTCGATCCTCCATCACCCTGTACACTCGGGTTAAATATACATAAGGAGAGCTGGTCACACATAAAGCTTTTACATATATGAAGAATCGAAGACAAAAAATATATCAAACTAAACTACAATATTGAAAAAAATGTATAATAATACTTCAATAATGCAGAATATCTACTAGGATTTTGTTGAAGGATACATACAGGGGAAATATATCCTTACGTTTTGTTTAATAAATCTATGAAAAAAAGGAATTTGTAATACATATTTTTACCACAACTTTAGCCAAAAATAGAGGAGGCAGCGGGAGGAGGGGAGGGGGTGGTTTAATAAGAGCTGGTCACATTAACCTCTTGACCCACACTAGGAACTGTAACCTGGTGTTAATATTAGGTTAAGTTAAGGTTAGGTTAAATTAGTGGTAAGTTAGACCAAGTTAAGGTTCCAAGTGTGGTGTAAGTGTTAAGTAAGGCTGATTTAAAGTCCAGAGGGTAGAAAGGAGTTCATTCAGGAAGCAGGGGTCACTTATGAGACTTTTAAGTGGCCAATATAACTTCAGGGGTCACTTATGAGACTTTTAAGTGGCCAATATAACTTCAGGGGTCACTTATGAGACTTTTAAGTGGCCAATATAACTTCAGGGGTCACTTATGAGACTTTTAAGGGGCCAATATAACTTCAGGGGTCACTTATGAGACTTTTAAGGGGCCAATATAACTTCAGGGGTCACTTATGAGACTTTTAAGTGGCCAATATAACTTCAGGGGTCACTTATGAGACTTTTAAGTGGCCAATATAACTTCAGGGGTCACTTATAAGACTTTTAAGTAATGTAGTCATTTTGAGGGTTACTTATGTAGAATATTAATGGGTAAAGTTATATTCAGGTTGATAGTACATACATACACACACACACACACACATACATACATACATACACACACACACACACATACATACATAAACATTACATACACAGCCACACACACACACACATGGCCCCACACACACATGGCCACACCACCTACCTGGCCATTAGTTTCCTCCAATAGTCAACAGAGACAGCAGGAGCGAGGGCCAAGGCATGATCCCATTGGTGGAGACGGGTCATCAACTCACAGTACTGCTGGATGGCCCCACACTTGAGGTACGCCTCGGCCAACACCTCCTGGCCCTCGGTGGTCGAGTGTTTACGGCCAGCTACCCCATGGCCACGGTTAGCTTCGAGTTCTTGTTCTGCTGCTGTTGCCTATTGGGTAATGTGAGGTTTGGTTGGGTTTGGTTGGGTCTGGTTGGGTGAGGTCTAGTTGGGTTTGGTTAGGTTTGGTTAGGTTTGGTTGGGTGTGGTTGGGTTTGGTTGGGTTTGGTTAGGTTTGGTTGGGTGAGTACGTTCGATTTATTGAGTACTTAACCAAACCCAACCAAACCTAACCTAACCTAACCAAACCCAACCAAAACCAACCCAACCTAACCTAACCATACCCAAACCTAACCAGACCTCACCCAACCTACCCTAATCTAACCATACCATCACAAGACACTTACCAGGGAGCACTTGATGAGGTGTGAATGATGCATAATGGCCTGGGTGTAGTTAGTGGAGAGCTGAGAGATGTCCGTGTGACCTTGAAGCACATAGACCAGATCCCAGAGGTTCCTTACTCTCACATCACCCTGTAGGAGCACAAGTAACTGTAATGTGATATATAATTGCAACACAACACAACACAACACAACACAACACATAAGAACATAAGAATGGAGGAAACTGCAGCGGGCCTATTGACCCATACTGGGCAGTCCCGTTTACACCCAACCCCTATTGCTCATATAAGCATCCAACCTGTGTTTGAACCTACCCAGCGTGTTCGAGTTAATGACGATGTTTGGTAACTTGTTCCATTCATCCACTACTCTGTTTCCAAACCAGTGTTTACCTATCTCGAGCCTAAATCTAAATTTGTCTAATATAAAACCATTGTTACGAGTTCGCTCCTGGTTGGATAGTTTGAGTACCTTTGTTATATCACCTTTGTTTAGCCCTGACTTCCATTTATACACCTCTATCATATCGCCCCTCACTCTACGTCTCTCGAGGGAGTGTAAATTAAGATGCTTTAACCTGTCTCTGTACTCAAGGTTCCTAATGCCCGGGATTAGTCTTGTCATTCTCCTCTGAATTCTTTCTAGAGATTCTATATCCATTCTGTAATACGGTGACCAGAACTGAAGTGCGTAATCCAGGTGAGGTCTAACAAGCACAAGATATAATCTTAAGATGACCTCTCTAGTCTTGTAACTAACGCTCCTTTGTATGAACCCAAGTACTTTATTAGCCTTGTTACGAGCAAAAACACATTGTTTACTTGGTTTAAGATTCCTACTCATCATTACTCCTAAATCTTTCTCTATATCATCGTTGTTCATCTGGTAACTGGTTTCCCTGTTTACATCTCCTATACTGAGTACTTTACATTTGTCCACGTTGAACACTAACACAATGTAACACAGCATTAAACCAATGTAACGTAACACAACACAACACAACACAACACTACACAACACAACACAACACAACACAACACAACACTAACACAAAACAAATCAGCAAACAACTTGATAGTCTTGGCTGGGTGATGTAAAGCATCTGTTTTGTTGAGTGTCATCTGGAGGTGAGCGGCTCTCAGGCCACACAGGTGTAGCCCAGGTGAGAAGCTCTGCTGATTACCTGAAATATTAAGTCTTATTAGTCTTAACTTAACCTATAAGATACCCCTAGCTATAGGTACTAACCAGTGTTCTCTATAATGTACTACCCATAATAATAATCATTGTATATAACATCTATAACTGCCTATAAGATACCCCTGGTTATAGATACTAACCAGTGTTCTCTATAATGTACTACCCATAATAATAATCATTGTATATAACATCTATAACTGCCTATAAGATACCCCTAGCTATAGGTACTAACCAGTGTTCTCTATAATGTACTACCCATAATAATAATCATTGTATATAACATCTATAACTGCCTATAAGATACCCCTAGCTATAGATACTAACCAGTGTTCTCTATAATGTACTACCCATAATAATAATCATTGTATATAACATCTATAACTGCCTATAAGATACCCCTAGCTATAGATACTAACCAGTGTTCTCTATAATGTCAGCAAGAGGTCTGCCAGCCAAGACCTTCAGCTGTAAGGGAGCAACGAACGACGCCAGCGACCACAGTCTAGTTGTCGAGTCTCTGGAACAAGATGCCAGCAGAAATGGTCGTACTGGGTGGATGGTCAGTCCTGTGGGGTACAGTGAGCGTGTGTAAGCATCTGTCAAACATCTGTGGTTATTGTAGGAGAATTTAAACATCTGTCAGTTATTGTAGAAACATTTAACCATCTGTCAGTAATAGTTTAACCATCTGTCAGTAATAGTTTAAATATCTGTCAATAATAGCACAAACATCAGTCAGAGTCAACATCACTAAACACTCACCGTAAACATCAGCACCATGATCCAACACAACATCTAGACAACAAGCATTACGAGCATCCCACACTCTCAGGGTCCTGTCCCACGATCCGGAAATAAGCAGGAACGGGACTTCAGGACACCAGGCTAGACCCCTCACGTTATCCGAGTGTCCAACCAGGATAGTCAGACACTGGGCCTTTGAGTACGACCATATCCTGACGGAGGAATCGTCACTACCGCTGCACAGGATATCGTGGTAAACAGGATTCCATTTCACTCGGAATACTTTCTTGAGGTGAGCTGGAACGAGTTGGTTTTTGGTTAGGTTAGGTTGGGTTAGAGAATAAATTATACCACATTAAAGCCCATACTCTAACCCATATCCAAGCTATAACCAACCCACATCCAACCCACTAAACCCACACCCCACCCACCTTTCAATTCAGTCACAGATTCTTTTTTGTTCTTGGCAACATTAAAGACCCTGATCTTCCCGTCCTCACACCAAACACAACCCATATCAGGACAAACCCATACTAAACCCATACCCCACCCACACCAAACCCACACCCCACCCACCTTTCAATTCAGTCACAGGTTCTTTTCTGTTCTTGGCAACATTAAAGACCCTGATCTTGCCGTCCTCACAGCCAGTGGCCAAGATATCAGCGTCCCTCCAATCACAGCCGTACACTGGCCCGGGATGACGGTACTCTTGAACTTGTGTTCCGCTGACTTGGTGGATGTAACAGAACCCTGATTCACCTGTTAACAGAAGGAGTGTGGTGGTAGTAGTCTGATTCACCTGTTAACAGAGAGGGTGAGGTGGTTGAAGAGTCACCCCAGATAGTTTTAAATTAATGTTAAATTATTAAATGGTTTTACAAAAATAACCTCTCTCTCTCCCTCTCTCTCTCTCTCTCACCTGCAGAAGCAATCCTCCTGGCATCCTTATGATTCCAGGCAACACAAAACACCTTCTTATCCTTATGGCAACAAATATCCTGCAGGACCTTGTGTTTATTAACGTCCCAAATAAACACACCGCCCGATGATGTCCCGGCCACTATGCAGTTGAGGTCAGCTGGGGCCCAGGACAGTGAGTAGATGATGGTGTGGCAGTTGGGGAGTGTGTCAACCTGAAGAGTGACACAGTTTATGACACTGGGGTAATTTATGACAGTATGTGAGGTAATTTATGACACTGGGGTAATTTATGACAGTATGTGAGGTAATTTATGACACTGGGGTAATTTATGACATGGGTAATATATGACAGAATGACAGTACTGTACATAATATATACCTACACAATAGACAGACAGACAGACAGACAGACAAAAGACAGACAGACAGACAGACAGACAGACAGACATACTCACAGTTTCCATGGTGTCAATTCTCCAGATCTTAATAGAGCCGTCAAAGGAAGAGGTGGCCAGCAAATCACTATCCTCAGGCTTAAAGCTGCAGTCAAATATAGTCTCGGTGTGGCCCTGTAAAGTGTTGTAAAGTTTTGGTTAAGTTACTACAACACTGGCCCTGTAAAGTGTTATAAAGTGTTGGTTAAGTTACTACAACACACAACACTGTCTCTGTAAAGTGTTGGTTAAGTTACTTCAACACAAAACACTGGCCCTGTAAAGTGTTGGTTAAGTTACTTCAACACAAAACACTGGCCCTGTAAAGTGTTGGTTAAGTTACTACAACACACAACACTGTCTCTGTAAAGTGTTGGTTAAGTTACTTCAACACAAAACACTGGCCCTGTATAGTGTTGGTTAAGTTACTACAACACACAACACTGTTTGGAAGAACCATAGTATTGTATTTAGAAGGTGTTACTTTCATCATTTTAACCAGCTTTTAAACCTTAAGACTCCACACGACTTTATTTTAAGTTATCTGTTGGTATTCCCAAGATTAGTGAGGGCCTGGCAGAGAATGTGGACAAAATAAACCTTGGGTCGCGGAGGGGTCGGGAAATTCAGGCAGTCTGGCAACGTGGAATGGACTAAAGTGTGATGGTCAGGAGTGAGGGCTAGTGCAACCAGGTGGAATGAAGGTGTGGATGTGTAGGTGGAAGGAAGGTGTGGATGTGTAGGTGGAAGGAAGGTGTGGATGTGTGGGTGGAAGGAAGGTATGGATGTATGGGCCAAGTGTATAAATGAGTGTGGATGTGTAAGCTCACAATATATGTTTGTGTGAAGTATAAGTTAAGAAGAGTTAATGTGGCAGTTCTCATTGGGTATTGGACTGTATTATGAGAAACTGAAGCAGGAGAAAGATTTGGGTATTGAGGGAGTTGAGCGATTGAGGGGTGGTAGAGTGTCTCAGGGCATTTGTGATGGGAGATATGAATAAGAAATTGATTAGTGAGCCATTGAACGGTGTGAAGGTTGTATCTGGTGAACAAGGAGGGAAAAATAATCTAACGAGACTGAACAACTTGTGTGAGGGAAGGAAACAACTTGATTAGGTAATCCAATGAAAGATTCTTCTCACGACTTGTAATATGAGCCATATACACAGCACCAATTAGGGTGTTTTTCCTTTCCATAATGATCACAGCATCGTAGTGCTTTATCATACAAATGAGCATTCAAGAAAGTTACATTATCTACAAGAGAAATACGAGAATTCCTCACTAATATAAACACACTTCTACCAGGTTCATTTTACACACCATCGAATTAACTATTTAACTTTCACTCAATTAATTAAATATATTACTGTATTATACAACCAAACGCATGGAGGTCGACTGTATTATACAACCAAACGCATGGAGGTCACTGTATTATACAACCAAACGCATGGAGGTCACTGTATTATCCAACCAAACGCATGGAGGTCACTGTATTATACAACCAAACGCATGGAGGTCGACTGTATTATACAACCAAACGCATGGAGGTCACTGTATTATACAACCAAACGCATGGAGGTCACTGTATTATACAACCAAACGCATGGAGGTCGACTGTATTATACAACCAAACGCATGGAGGTCGACTGCTACTATCAGTCCCCATTACGGAATCTCAAAGTGTTATGCCGTGGCTCAGTACTATATGATGGGCAAACATTTCATTTCTACCTGGACTTCATTTAATACTACACATTTCATTTCTACCTGGACTAAATTTAACACTACACATTTCATTTCTACCTGGACTTCATTTAATACTACACATTTCATTTCTACCTGGACTTCATTTAATACTGCCCATTTCATTTCTACCTGGACTTCATTTATCACTACACATTTCATTTCTACCTGGACTTCATTTATCACTACACATTTCATTTCTACCTGGACTTCATTTAAAACTGCTACACCGGCCGCCCCATCCTCATTGAACTAGCTGACTCGTGTGCAAAGAAATGTGTATTCTGTTCATGTGATCGCACCTTAGGACAAATATTTCTTTTACCTTATCACAATATGTCTGTAGGATGGTGTGTGTATTTAACTGTGTAAAAATAAATAAGAAGGTTATTTATATGTGCCCCAAAATATGAGATGAAAAACAACCATGACACCTCACAGCTTGGTCCAGTAGCCTGGTGGTTACAATGACGAGTCTAACCTGGCTACAATGACATGATTTATCACTATTAGACATTATTATATCAGTAAACACCAATAATAGAAGGAGGAGAGTTAGAACTGCAGATGACTAACTAGTGGTCAAGCAATATGTCCCATTGCCAGGCCTACGATCAAAATACATTTCTTGTTGTCTAATTTAAAAATGGTGATAGACAGTGATAAATAAATTATATAAACTACTGTATTTACCTTAGATAACATAACAAGAAACATTGTATCATTACTAGAGTGAATGAAATAATATTACCACAACAGGTTATGTTCCCCACCTCCTCGGGCATCTGTGTCCTGCGTGCTGACATCTTAAGCTACACGAGCCTTACGTGCTCTCTGATCTGGTCTGGGGAGGCTTCTCAGGGAGGATTATTAACCCCAGGAACCGCCAAATTTTGTCCGAATCTTCTGAAATCCAGATTTAACGAGTCCAAATCTTCGAGGGTTGACTGTATTTAATTTCGGTCAGACACAGATGGGTTATAATCTGGCCCTCACTTACCATAACAGTACTGAGGCAACATCTGGTGAATCCATCTTGTATTCTTAAAGGTCGAGGATAATTGTACGGGCAAATATCCCCACGGTGTCTCTCACTATGGACGGGGATTGTATGATTCTAGAGATACCCAACCTAACCCAACCTAACCTAACGCAACCTAATCTAATCTAACCCAACCTAACCTAACCAAACCCAACCCATTTCTCCCGTACAAACCTTTAAACAAATACTACTCACATGTTCTCTATGAAATATCCATTGCTTCCTCCTCAGATGATACAGCCCGACACCACCATCTTTAAACAGCGAGACGACGTTTACATTAGGAATCATCAGTCCCGCTCTCCTGTCTCCGATCGCGTCGTTCTGGAGGTCTAGGGCGTTCTTGTTCGCCGCCTTAACCTGTGTAACGCAGAGGACGTGGAATCCCGTGTCCTTCAAGACGTTATTTTCGATGGGCGTCGGTTTGTTTACTGTCCACACTCGTAGGATTCCTTTCTCAGCGTCTGCAATAATAATGAGTTTATTTTACCTCAAGATTAGTCCCCTGAGTTTATTTTACCTGAAGATTAGTCCCCTGAGTTTATTTTACCTTAAGATTAGTCCCCTGAGTTTATTTTACCTTAAGATTAGTCCCCTGAGTTTATTTTACCTTAAGATTAGTCCCCTGAGTTTATTTTACCTTAAGATTAGTCCCCTGAGTTTATTTTACCTTAAGATTAGTCCCCTGAGTTTATTTTACCTTAAGATTCCCCAGTTTAGTCCACTACTCTATTTCCAGGCCAATGTTTACCTATCTCGCGCCTAAATCTAAATTTGTCTAATTTAAAACCATTGTTACGAGTTCGCTCCTGGTTGGATAGTTTGAGTACCTTTGTTATATCACCTTTGTTTAGTCCTGACTTCCATTTATACACCTCTATCATATCGCCCCTCACTCTACGTCTCTCGAGGGAGTGTAAATTAAGATGCTTTAACCTGTCTCTGTACTCAAGGTTCCTAATGCCCGGGATTAGTCTTGTCATTCTCCTCTGAATTCTTTCTGGGGATTCTATATCCATTCTGTAATACGGTGACCAGAACTGAACTGCGCAATCCAAGTGAGGTCTAACAAGCACAAGATATAGTTTTAGGATGACCTCGCTAGTCTTGTTGTAACTAACGCTCCTTTGTATGAACCCAAGTACTTTATTAGCCTTGTTTCCAGCAAAGACACATTGTTTACTTGGCTTATGATTCCTATACTTATCATTACTCCTAAATCTTTCTCACAGTCGAATTTCTCTATAACATCGTTGTTCATCTGGTTTCTCTGTTTACATCTCCTATACTGAGTACATTAAATTTGTCCACATTGAATTGACCTGGCGATTAGCCCCAAGGTTATTTAACAAGCGGACGTAACAACTACAACAAAAACAATAACACACCTCCAGTAATAAACATGCCAGGAGCGTCAGGTAGCCAAGCCAAGGTGCTGACACTGGCTGACAAAGGCATAATGTACTTGGTTACGATCCTCATGGTGTTGACGTCGACCAGCCAGAGGGCGCCGCCTTTATACGCCACCAGGATGTAATCTGGTGAGCAGGCGTCCCACTCTAGGGTCACCAAGTTGTGGTCGTCGTTGTCCTCGCCGCCCTCGGGTAATGCTGAGTATCTTGATTTGCCGATGTCTGTAAGATGCCAGAGGTGTAGAGGCAGTTTAGGGTGTGAGGGGTGTGGTGTGAGGGGTGTGTTGTGTGGGGTGTGTTGTGTGGGGTGTGTTGTGTGGGGTGTGTTGTGTGGGTGTGTTGTGTGGGTGTGTTGCGTTGTGGTGTGTTGCGTGTGTGTGTTGTGGAATAGTGTGAGGGTGTGTTGTGTGGGGTGTGTTGTGTGGGGTGTGTGTTGTGTGGGGTGTGTTGTGGGGTGTGGTGTGAGGGTGTGGTGTGAGGGGTGTGGTGTGAGGGTGTGTTGTGAGGTGTGTTGTGTGGGGGTGTGTTGTCCCAGGTGTGTTGTGTGGGGTGTGTGTGGGGTGTGTTGTGTGGGGTGTGTTGTGTTGTGTGTGGTGTGTTGTGTGGGGTGTGTTGTGTGCAGGTGTGTGTGTGGGTGTGTTGTGTGGGGTGTGTTGTGTGGGGTGTGTTGTGTGGGGTGTGTTGTGTGGTGTGTTGTGGGTGTGTTGTGTGTCAGGTGTGTTGTGTGGGGTGTGTTGTGTGGGGTGTGTTGTGTGGGGTGTGTTGTGTGGGGTGTTGTGTGGGGTGTGTTGTGTGGGGTGTGTTGTGTGGGTGTGTTGTGTGGGTGTGTTGCGTTGTGGTGTGTTGCGTGTGTGTTTATTGCAACAGGCACAGTGTAGATGTTTTTCACACACACACACACACACACACACACACACACACACACACACACACACACACACTTCAGTTAACAAGTACACTGAACTAACAAGCATAAACCTAAGCTGGAGTGGAAAGCTTAAGCAGTTATTAACAGCATATATACAGGACCAACTGAATCTTAACCCCAGCTTATTTTACATGAAGATTAAGCACCATAAATCTATCTGAGGGTTAGGTTAGATCAGGTTAGGTTAATTTACGTTAATTTACGTTACTCAAATCAAAATAAACTGGGGTGTCTAATCTTCATGTGACCCCCCCAAAATTTTTCAAGCCATTCCTGGGGTGAAAATAGCGAAACACGATAAGTGGGGAAAAAGGACAAATAAAGATGAAAAAGGACAAATAAAGATGAAAAAGGACAAATAAAAATGAAAAAGGACAAATAAAGATGAAAAAAAAACCGCAAAATAAAAATATTAGCAGCACAAATTACATGAGGCATCTTGGTAGTGTCGTCCCCACCACACTGCCCAAGGTAATCCCAACACCTCTGTACACCTGTAATAAGGAGCAGTATACCACACCTGTCTCACACACATTATACACCACAGGCAGTCCTCAGGTAACCAACATCTGCCTTACCAACGCCCGCCGATACTGACGAACCAATGCCCGCCGATACTGACGAACCAATGCCCGCCGTACTGGCCGAACCAATGCCGCCCGATGCCCCAGCGAACCAATGCCCGCCCGATACTGGCGAACCAGCGCCGCGATACTGAACCAGCGCCGCCCGATACTGGCGAACCCGCGCCGCGACTTTAATGAACCAATGCCCGCCGATACTGACGAACCAATGCCCGCCGATACTAGAGAGGTTAAACTTTAATTCCTCCCCGCCCTAGATAATGACCCTGACCTTGTAAGTATAAGGTAATGTCGTTCACTTCTCATAGTAATTGTACACTAATTATTAAATATGTACACTAATTATTACAGGTGTACACTAATTATTACAGGTGTACACTAATTATTACAGGTGTACATTAATTATTACAGGTGTACACTAATTATTACAGGTGTACACTAATTATTACAGGTGTACACTAATTATTACAGGTGTACACTAATTATTACAGGTGTACACTAATTATTACAGATGTACACTAATTATTACAGGTGTACACTAATTATTACAGGTGTACACTAATTATTACAGGTGTACACTAATTATTACAGGTGTACACTAATTATTACAGGTGTACACTAATTATTACAGGTGTACACTAATTATTACAGGTGTACACTAATTATTACAGGTGTACACTAATTATTACAGGTGTACACTAATTATTACAGGTGTACACTAATTATTACAGGTGTACACTAATTATTACAGGTGTACACTAATTATTACAGGTGTACACTAATTATTACAGGTGTACACTAATCATTACAGGTGTACACTAATTATCACAGGTGTACACTAATTATTACAGGTGTACAGATTAATAAAGTTGAAATATTCTTCATCATGCAAAATAATTCTCAGCATCAAATAATTTTAAAATAATATATATAACGTAAATTACTGAATTGAATAAGTTGGTTAGGTTAGGTTGAGATTTGGTTAGGTTGAGGTCAGGTTAGGTTAGGTTGAGGTGTACACTAATTATTACAGGTGTACACTAATTATTACAGGTGTACACTAATTATTACAGGTGTACACTAATTATTACAGGTGTACACTAATTATTACAGGTGTACACTAATTATTACAGGTGTACACTAATTATTACAGATGTACACTAATTATTACAGGTGTACACTAATTATTACAGGTGTACACTAATTATTACAGGTGTACACTAATTATTACAGGTGTACACTAATTATTACAGGTGTACACTAATTATTACAGGTGTACACTAATCATTACAGGTGTACACTAATTATCACAGGTGTACACTAATTATTACAGGTGTACAGATTAATAAAGTTGAAATATTCTTCATCATGCAAAATAATTCTCAGCATCAAATAATTTTAAAATAATATATATAACGTAAATTACTGAATTGAATAAGTTGGTTAGGTTAGGTTGAGATTTGGTTAGGTTGAGGTCAGGTTAGGTTAGGTTGAGGTCAGGTTAGGTTAGGTTGAGGTCAGGTTAGGTCAGGTTAGGTTAGGTTGAGGTCAGGTTAGGTTATGTTGAAGTCAGGTTAGGTTAGGTTGAGGTCAGGTTAGGTCAGGTTAGGTTAGGTTGAGGTCAGGTTAGGTTAGGTTAGGTTAGGTTAAAAGTAATAAATGTGCCTCAAACAGAAAATTGATGAAAGGTTCACCAGATTTACCTGTACAACAAAAATAGCAACACATATTGTTATTGGTGGAGCTGACAGTGTCTAGTATAGTAGAAGCCCAGTGCCATATTGTAGCATCTGCAGTAGAGAATATCTTTAAAATGGCTATAGTCTGCTAGTAGCCCCCACCAGGTTAACTTATTTAGGGCTATGCAATTTTAGCTTAGGTCGTCTGTATATAATTTTAGCTTAGGGTGTCTGTATATAACTTTAGCTTAGGGCGTCTGTATATAACTTTAGCTTAGGGCGTCTGTATATAACTTTAGCTTAGGGCGTCTGTATATAACTTTAGCTTAGGGTGTCTGTATATAACTTTAGCTTAGGGCGTCTGTATATAACTTTAGCTTAGGGCGTCTGTATATAACTTTAGCTTAGGGCGTCTGTATATAACTTTAGCTTAGGGCGTCTGTATATAACTTTAGCTTAGGGCGTCTGTATATAATTTAATAATGTCAAGTTCGTTTGGTTTACGTTATTATTGGTTGTAAAATCTGATGTAAATAATAAATTAATATATTATTAAAGTTAATATTGACATCAGTTAAAGATTATTTAACCTGACGATTAAAAACACCTTAACATTAGTACCTCCAGGTTAGGTTAGGTTAATTTGGGTCGAGTTAGGTTAAATACCATTAGGTTAGGTTAGTGTTTGGTTCATTAATCATCAGGTGAAATAAATTGGAGAGTTAATAATCTTTAGGTGATATTAAGGTAAGGTTTGGTTAGGTTAAGGTTAGGTTAAGGTTAGGGTTAAAATCATCAGGTGAAATAAGCTAGGGTGTCTAATCTTCAAGTGATCTTAAATATTTCTATTAAAAAGAATGGTCTCTCTCTCTCTCTCTCTCTCTCTCTCTCGTCTCTCATTAACAGGAATTATATCAACAGAAATCAAGGCTTAACTACATCAATAACAACTACAATAACACAACAATTCATCAATAACAATTCATCAATAACAACAGCAGTAATAACAAAAAACAATAACAATAACCACTAATAACACAATTAGGTTAAATAACTTAACCTGACACAGAATTTAACCTTCAAGTGAAATAACCACAAGACACAATAACCACCAATAACCACCACAATAACCACCATTAACCATGACAATAACCACCACAATAGCCACCATTAACCACCACAATAACCACCATTAACCACAAATAACCACACCATTAACCACCACAATAACCACCACAATAACCACCACAATAACCACCATTAACCACCACAATAACCACCATTAACCACCACAATAACCACACCATTAACCACCACAATAACCACCATTAACCAGCACAATAACCACCACAATGACCAGCACAATAACCACCATACCTTCCCTATAGACAGTAATCTTGCCGTCATCATGGCCAATAGCCAGTCGACCCGGTACAGTCGGGTGCCAGCGGTAGGTGATGATAGCGTGGGTGTAACCATAGTCCTCTCTCACGGGGTACGGTTCAGTGGTGTCCGTATAGTCCCACAGCTGTATGGGGCCAGTCTGTGTTGTGAAGGAGAGCAGGTCCCTGGAATGATGACAGATTCTTTACTATACTGTTATACATACTTATACATACAAAGATATATACAGTAATATCACCGTTAGTTGGAATAATTGATACTGAACACTTCCGGGTAACCAGACGATTCTCTCAAAGCCGGAAAAAAATACCCTCGGCACGGGAATGTTCCGGGTAAGGGAGATATTGCTGTAACATAGAAGGGTCACAGTTCCATGTATATACAGTACACTGTATTATCACCTTTATCAGCATGGCTTACTTCACACTACTCAAATAACTGATTAGAGTCAACCAGTACGGACACGAGTCATGAGATGGCTCCCGATTGGTGGAAAACCATTGCTGGCTGTTGGGGCCGCCATCTATGACAGGTGATGTCTATCCTAACTCTGGGATACCAAGTCAGTCTTACTCCCACCACCGAGGTGACTTGTTGTCCCTCTCTACTCTGTTGTGGAGTGAGCTACTGTTACCTGTACACCTCACCTATTTATAACGTGTATTAGCACACCTCAGTACATTATTTCCCACCCTTGTGTATATGTTTGTGGGTTTATTAAGATACGTATAGTATTAAAAGTCACCTGCACATTGTTCACGTCCTATTTTAATAACGTGTTGGGTACTGTCATGTCAACCATAAGTGTGGTATCAACTATTAAATTAAGCCAAGTTGTTATAGACATTCACAATTGTGCGTGTCGACCACATGTTGAGTGAAGGAACTGTTTACAACTCAGAATAGCTTACTAAGCCAGATGTAGCTGGTAGCAGCTGTGTGACTGCCTGAAGGACAGACTATCGCCCTCTACTGTAGAGACAACATCTTGATTCTCGTCAGCCCGCATCTTCCTGTACGATATTATATTTCTTCTCGTTGGTCTAACCCTAGACCCCAAAACGTGATTGCTATCTGTTGAATCCTCTAATAACTCTAAATAACTTTAATAAGTGTATTTATGTAAAGTCTCTCCTCGACTTACGACGGGGTCCAGTCCCGACGACCAGGTCATAAGTCGAATTGGTCGTAAGTCCAAAAAGCGAAAATAAAACATAGAAAATCTAAAATGAAATAAAGTTCAGTAAAAGTAATCACTAATGAATAAAGTGTTACTGTGTACTCCCCTTTAATGTAGTCAGCTGAATGCACACGGAGCCTCAATAATTTGTTAATTAAACATGGAGACGACATTAATTGGCTGAAGCAGAGGAGGAGACAGGGCTGGGCGGGTCATCAATGCTGCTTTCTTCAGATAGGTTAATGTACTTGGTGGTTGAAGGTATTGGATCATCTTTAGGGAGTTAAGAGGCAGCAGTGGTGGGGTGTGAGGAGACAGGGCTGGGTGGGTCATCAATGCTGCTTTCTTCAGATAGGTTAATGTACTTGGTGGTTGAAGGTATTGGATCATCTTTAGGGAGTTAAGAGGCAGCAGTGGTGGGGCGTGAGGAGACAGGGCTGGGCGGGTCATCAATGCTGCTTTCTTCAGATAGGTTAATGTACTTGGTGGTTGAAGGTATTGGATCATCTTTAGGGAGTTAAGAGGCAGCAGTGGTGGGGTGTGAGGAGACAGCAGTGGGGGATTTCTTAAAATATATGTCCAATTTAGACTACACAGTTTTCCTTTTCTTTTCATTGTAAATCTCTCTGTAGCCAACAAGTGCATCTTGGGTCATTCTGTCAACTTTGGCAAAACACTAATAATTTTGATCCATTTCTTCAAACATTTTCATCCCCTTATTAATAGTAACAAATGCCTCTGCCATTTGTTTAACTGAAACTTTTTGGGGGGTCCAGGTTCTTCTTCTACATTTTGTTTCTCTTCTTCCTCTGCAATTTTCTGTGCCTCCAGTTCAATAAGATCCTCGTTACTGAGCTCTTCTGATACACTTTCAACCAACTGCTCAACATCTTCATTATCAATTTCTAACTCAAGCTGTTGACCCAACTCCACTATCTTGTTACTAATCTCAGAAATAACTTCATCTTCATTAAATCTTTTGAAACTGTTCACATATCTTTTCAGGACCTTCTTCCATTCATGCCCTGACCTGTAACCTCATCCCATGCTGTTCTTTATACATGTCAAAATGTTGTAGTCCTTCCAAAACTCTGAGAGTTTTCTCACCTTCAGTAGCAGCAACGGCCTGAGCGAAGGTCGTGCGTAAATAATACGCTTTAAAAGCAGCAATAGCACCTTGATCCAGGGGTTGGATGATAGAGGTAGTGTTAGGTGGAATGTAGACTACCTTAACATGAGGGTGCAGGTCGTCCAGGTGTGGTGGGTGTCCCGGAGCATTATCTAAAATTTATAAAATCTTGAATGGAATCCCTTGTTGCAGACAATACTCCTTGGCTCGTGAAATGAAACAATTCATGAACCAATCCTCAAACAGTACTAGGGTCATCCAGGCTTTCTTGTTACTGCGATAAAACACTGGCAGTGTGTGACTTGCTGACATGTTTAAAAGCCCTTGGGTTCTCTGAATGATAGATCATGACGGGTTTTACCTTGAACCAGCTACATTCCTCCCAACAGAAGTGTGATTCAGTCCTTGAATCCTGGCATGGATTTCGCCTCTTTGTGGATGTATGTCTGTTCTGGCATGCGCTTCCAGAATAATCCAGTTTCATCCACATTAAATAATTGCTCAGGCAAATAACTTCCCTCCACGATGACACGATCTAGCTCCTCCTTAACAGCTTCGGCAGCACCCACATCAGCACTTGCTGCCTCTCCACTCACCTTGTCTTTTATTAGTTATCAATGTTCCCTTTATAGGTGCTGATCCTTTCACTACCTCATGAATTCGTTCTTTGTCCTTCAAAATGTTGATATGGTCGAGTGAGAGAAGCCAAGGTCACGTGAAATGGTTGATACCGTTTTTCCATTTTCATATTGTATTATTATTTTCATTTTCATCTCATAAGTAATTGCCAGTCTCCTCTTCTTCTCAGCTCCACCAGAACTCTCACTTTACACTTGCCAGTCATTTTAAAGGGAATTATAAACGAAAATATTGTCAGTATAAAGCGCGATCACTACCAACGACGGCCAAACACCAACTGAGGCACTACAGCCTGAATGCTGTTCACCACGAGGCGGCCCAGCCCACACTGTCGTACGGGACCAAAACGTTTCAGTACTAGAAAATACGTAACTTGAAAAATATTTTATACGACCACGGCGATCACATGTCCGGGCGGTCGTATGTCGAGGAGTAGCTGTCCTGTGTATTGATCATATTATACAAACTATGTCCTGATGTCCTGCGAGTTATAATCAACAAGTTTTGACCCAATTATACTCATCGCACCAACGACAAGGGTCTTATTGTCCTGCACAAGCCAAAATCACTCCTATGAACGATTACACAAGTAAAGCTGTAATAACTAACCCTACAGTATAAGTAGAAACGTTTACAATACAAACAGACTGTTACTTGTTACATAATGAGGCACGATGAGTTTTACAAGGTATTATAACTAAATTATTTCCACCCAAAAGCCCCTTGACAAACACTGGTAAAGAAATTATATAAAATTTGAGATTAAAATAAAAGCAAAAGTTTCTGTAACAATGCATACATATACAGTAATCATACATAAACACCCAACTGACAGGTGACATAAACAGCAATATAAAATAAGGTTAAAACTGTGTAAAGTAAACTAGATTAAACAATGACCCACCTGTGTCCGGTACACCAGGCCACAACTATGGGTACTCGGCAGATACTGATGGCATGAAGAACACACTGTCTGCTGACACTCCAGACACAGACTCTCTGATCCAGTGATGCGCTGTGGTGGAGTAAACTTATTAGAGGGTGTGTGGGGGTGTGTGGGGGTGGGTGTGTGGGGGTGACTATTATAACACCAATTTAACAATGATTAACTATGCAAGCTGTAATTAGAATCTACAAAAATAATTCACACTCGCTAGCCACAAATTTCACTTAAAATTTCATGGTTAAGTGTTATGTATGTATGTATGTATGTATGTATATATGTATGAATGTATGTATGTATGTTATATTCTCTGACTCCATAATTGCTGTACGTACTCCTAACCTAAGTAGCAACTCACCTGGCCAACAGATCATCACTACAGGGGTGCCAGTCAAGACAGGTGATGGTCTTACGGTGGTCGGCTAAAATACTGCACAGCTGCCACTGATTACTGCCACTCTCTACCTGGGGGAGTACACTGATTACTGCCACTCTCTACCTGGGGGAGTACACTGATTACTGCCACTCTCTACCTGGTGGAGTACACTGATTACTGCCACTCTCTACCTGGGGGAGTACACTGATTACTGCCACTCTCTACCTGGGGGAGTACACTGATTACTGCCACTCTCTACCTGGGGGAGTACACTGATTACTGCCACTCTCTACCTGGGGGAGTACACTGATTACTGCCACCTCTCTGCCACCTGGGGGAGTACACTGATTACTGCCACTCTCTACCTGGTGGAGTACACTGATTACTGCCACTCTCTACCTGGGGGAGTACACTGATTACTGCCACTCTCTACCTGGGGGAGTACACTGATTACTGCCACTCTCTACCTGGGGAGTACACTGATTACTGCCACTCTCTACCTGGGGGAGTACACTGATTACTGCCACTCTCTACCTGGGGAGTACACTGATTACTGCCACTCTCTACCTGGGGAGTACACTGATTACTGCCACTCTCTACCTGGGGAGTACACTGATTACTGCCACTCTCTACCTGAGAGTACACTGATTACTGCCACTCTCTACCTGGGGGAGTACACTGATTACTGCCACTCTCTACCTGGGGGACTGATTACTGCCACTGACACTGATTACTGCCACTCTCTACCTGGGGGAGTACACTGCCACTCTCTACCTGCACTGATTACTGCCACTCTCTACCTGGGGGAGTACACTGATTACTGCCACTCTCTACCTGGGGGAGTACACTGATTACTGCCACTCTCTACCTGGGGGAGTACACTGATTACTGCCACTCTCTACCTGGGGGAGTACACTGATTACTGCCACTCTCTACCTGGGGGAGTACACTGATTACTGCCACTCTCTACCTGGGGGAGTACACTGATTACTGCCACTCACTACCTGGGGGAGTACACTGATTACTGCCACTCTCTACCTGGGGGAGTACACTGATTACTGCCACTCTCTACCTGGTGGAGTACACTGATTACTGCCACTCTCTACCTGGGGGAGTACACTGATTACTGCCACTCTCTACCTGGGGGAGTACACTGATTACTGCCACTCTCTACCTGGGGGAGTACACTGATTACTGCCACTCTCTACCTGGGGGAGTACACTGATTATTGCCAATCTCTATAAATTAAATTATTATTATTATTATATTTATTACTATTAATATTATTACAAGACTCGTACACAGGACACATACACGGGACACACACAGAGGACACATACACATACAGGACACAGGACACACAGGACCCACCTCATAGACATATATGGCGAGGGTAGCAGCATAGGCAAATCGTCTATAGTGGGCCGTACATATGTTGTGGTGCCATGGCTGAGCACCGGCCGCCAGGAGTGATAACTGCTGTAGCATACCGCCTCTGTAACACACACAAGGTCTTAACCCATGATTGATAACCCACCTCTGTAACACACACAAGGTCTTAACCCATGATGACCCACCTCTGTAACACACAAGGCCTTAACCCATGATGACCCACCTCTGTAGCACACACAAGTCTTATTCAATAGTATGACCCGTGACCCCACCTCTGTAACACACACAAGGTCTTAACCCATGATTGATAACCCACCTCTGTAACACACACAAGGTCTTAACCCATGATGACCCACCTCTGTAACACACAAGGCCTTAACCCATGATGACCCACCTCTGTAACACACACAAGGTCTTAACCCATGATTGATAACCCACCTCTGTAACACACACAAGGTCTTAACCCATGATGACCCACCTCTGTAACACACAAGGCCTTAACCCATGATGACCCACCTCTGTAACACACACAAGGTCTTAACCCATGATGACCCACCTTATACCCGAGGATAAGTGTCTGTCAGTCCTTGTAGCAGTGTTCAGTCCTCCCAGCACACCGTAGCTGTCAGCACTCTGTAGGTAGTTGGCATTACCCAGTACATTCCAAGCACAGCTGTTGTCCCTGTAAGTGTTATACTGTGTTATACTGTGTTATACTGTGCTACACTGTTTATAATCTAACCTAACCTAACCAAACCTGAAGCTACAGTAATGGTATATTATTGAGTACTGTACTGTACTGTATGTACTTGAAAAGAGTTCAGAGGGGAATAACAAGACTAATCCCGGGCATTAGGAACCTTGAGTACAGAGACAGGTTAAAGCATCTTAATTTACACTCCCTCGAGAGACGTAGAGTGAGGGGCGATATGATAGAGGTGTATAAATGGAAGTCAGGGCTGAACAAAGGTGATATAACAAAGGTACTCAAACTATCCAACCAGGAGCGAACTCGTAACAATGGTTTTAAATTAGACAAATTTAGATTTAGGCGCGAGATAGGTAAACATTGGTTTGGTAATAGAGTAGTGGACTACTGGAACAAGTTACCAAACATCGTCATTAACTAGAACACGCTGGATAGGTTAGGTTAGGTTGGGTGGATATATGAGTGATAGGGGTTGGGTGTAAATGGAACTGCCCAGTGTGGAACAATAGGCCCGCTGCAGTTTCCTCCATTCTTATGTTCTCATGTGTGGATGAGGGTAAACAATATATAAACAATGGATATAAACAAATAATATAAATAGTAGATACAAACAAGGTATATAAATAATAATATAAACAGTATATATAAAAACGATAGATACTGTTGTCAGAATGCTTCATCTGTTGTTCTGTTTCAACACAAGTTTACTGTGGGTAGTTTTCTGAGGGACTGAACATTGACTGTACATTGACTGAACAGGTAGATGATGTACAGTTCATGTCAGTTATAAGCAATACAGTCTAACGAGCGTGATTTATCTAACCAAACGACATTGTTCGATCCACCGCCCGCTTGATCTAAACACGCTAACGGGTAATTAATTTGAGTGTTTTGTTTTCCCAGCTGAGAAAAGATGCCCCGCCCCCTTCTCAATACTCACAGTTGATTGGCTGTTTCAAACCTGTTCGATATCGTCCTAAAGTAATGATGTATTTATAAATGAGTTTATTAATAATGACCATTTTTATAATAAAGATGTTTAGTTAAATTATATAAAGATTCATACATTAATTACTTCAAACATGAACACGGAGGAAGTTTATCAGAAATATTATACAAGAATTAACCGTTAAACTCTGGTGGTAAATTGAAGCTTTCAGAGGACATTTACTTGTTGTTGTTGTATTGGCCATTAATCTTACTAGCTGATTGGTCGGTTTATCCAGTGTTAGTACGGGAGGGAACCTGTGGTGACCTTGGGCCGAGGGGTTTAACATGTAGGTGAGTTATGCTGTACCACCAACACCCCGGAGATGCTATTCCAATAATAATTTTCCACCTTTTTTAAATGATAAAATAATCAAATATAAATAATAAAAACTATATATATTGAGCCTCTAGAACCTAAGCTTTTACCAGGTATTACTAGCTTGACTCTGTGTCCGGGATGGCCACTAGCTTGACTCTGTGTCTGGGATGGTCACTAGCTTGACTCTGTGTCTGGGATGGCCACTAGCTTGACTCTGTGTCTGGGATGGTCACTAGCTTGACTCTGTGTCTGGGATGGCCACTAGCTTGACTCTGTGTCTGGGATGGCCACTAGCTTGACTCTGTGTCTGGGATGGCCACTAGCCTAACTCTGTGTCTGGGATGGTCACTAGCTTGACTCTGTGTCTGGGATGGTCACTAGCCTAACTCTGTGTCTGGGATGGTCACTAGCCTAACTCTGTGTCTGGGATGGCCACTAGCTTGACTTCTGTGTCTGGATGTCACTAGCTGACTTCTGTGTCCGGGATGCACGTGGTCACTAGCTTGACTCTGTGTCTGGTGGTCACTAGCTTGACTGTGGTTCTAGCTTGACTCTGTGTCTGGATGGCCCAGCTGACCTGTGTCTGGGATGAGCTTGATCCTGTGTCTGGGATGCCACTAGCTTGACCTGTGTCCGGGATGGCCACTAGCTTGACTCTGTGTCGGGATGAAGCTGACTCTGTGTCTGGATGCCACTAGCTTGACTCTGTGTCTGGATGGTCTACATTGATTCTGTGTCTGGGATGTCACTAGCTTGATTTGTGTCTGGGATGGCACTAGCTTGACTCGTGTCTGGGATGGTCACTAGCTTGATTCTGTCTGAGGGCCAACAGCTTGACTTGTGTCTGGGATGGCAACAGCTGACTCTGTGTCTGGGATGGCCACTAGCTTGACTCTGTGTCTGGGATGGCCACTAGCTTGACTCTGTGTCTGGGATGGCCACTAGCTTGACTGTGTCCGATGGTCATTAGCTTGACTTGTGTCCGGGATGGCCACTAGCTTGACTGTCGGATGGCCACTAGCTTGACTTGTGTCTGTTGTTGATAGCTGACTCTTGTGTCTGGGATGGCCACTAGCTTGACTTGTGTCTGGATGGCCACTAGCTTGACTCTATGCCCGTCGTCTGGGCTTGTGTCTGGGATGGCCACTAGCTTGACTCTGTGATGCCATGGACTCAGTCTGGATGGCCACTAGCTTGACTCTCTGTGTCTGGGATGGTCACTAGCTTGACTCTGTGTCTGGGATGGTCACTAGCTTGACTCTGTGTCTGGGATGGCCACTAGCTTGACTCTGTGTCTGGGATGGCCACTAGCTTGACTTCTGTTTCTGGGATGGCCACTAGCTTGACTCTCGTGTCTGGGATGGCCACTAGCTTGACTCTGTGTC